CAAGACCCTCTACATGTTGCAACATACTTTTTTTCTTCAATTACAACCATTTCTCAGAGGCACATCAGCCCAAGCTCAGCCCAGTACAAAGTATTTAAATGCTTTTATACGCCCCCTTTGGCAGTTCCCCTTTGCAAACAAGCTCGAGCCTTGGCTATGCCCAATGCCACAAACATAACAAATTGTCAACGCATAAGATGGCATTTAATCTTCAACAAATTGTGAGCCACTTGTACAGACAGCTTAAGTAAATACAGTCAAGAGCAGCCGCACACCACCTGCACCACCGATTCGGCTGGCAATCTATCAAGCTGCACAGTACGCAGCGTGTTATGCGGAAATTTGTGAAAATCTCTTTAGGGTTTGCATTTTCATCTCTTGGTCTTGTTCTTTTTTTCCACTTTTCTTGTAGTCATATGAAATTTGCATTTTAAGTCAATAAATTCACTTTGCATACGCACACACGTTGACTGGAAGCCACAACATGCTCTATAAATCTGTTCGCGTCGAGCGGGGCGTGGCAAGGGGAGTTGTCTTAGCGGCTTAGCCTTCAGCCCGCGGCCAACTTAAGTCTGGCTACTGACTTGCAACTGCCTAAGCCCCTGTACACCCCTGTATTACCAGATTACGGCAAGTGTGAGTGGGCAAATAGCTGAGAATAACTGAGAGCTGAGAACTGAGAACTGAGCACTGTGAGCTGATAGCTGGGTATCGCGACTGCCGTCGCCTTTTGTCGCTTTGGCCGTGCTTAAGGCGATATTTGCGTTATTTACGATTATTTACAATTTAAAATTTACATGTGCCAGCCCGCCCCCTCCCACAGAGTGCCTGTCTGTTGCCATGATGTTGTACATCGCTTCCCTTGGTGTATCTTGATCTGTTGCTTTTTATTTATATCACAATTACTTGGCTCTAACTACAGATTTGTTGTGCTCAACTGTGAGTTAGCGTTTGTACAACTGAATGTAGAGATAATTAAAAATTATTTTTTTTAACTACGAGATTTGAGGTATAGAAACTATAAGATGAGAGTGTGTGACTGGAATAGAATAAGACTTTTATATAGATCATTTGGATCATTATGATATATCACCCTGGAGAATAACAAACTAAATTTAAGATATTCATTTAGGATTTGTTAGACTTGAAAACATTCTTTTGTTCCCTTTTGACTTAGAGCTGAGTCAAAATTTATTGGCAACCAGTTTTGAGCAATTTTCACTTCTCATGCGCTCTGCAAATTTATGCGGTGGTGCGATATTTAGCCGCCGGCATTTGGATAATCGAAGCCGCGCTGCACCGCATAAACTTCTGTGCAACTGCAACCGCTGAAGAGGAAACCCAGGCTCAACAAGCAGCAACCCAAGTCGCCCCGCACTGCCAGCAACCAGCTAGAGTAGTCAGCATCACAGTTTGGCATCTTTTTGAGGCAACTAATTGAATTATTAGCGGCTGCAGCCAGTGGTTGGGCCTGTGGTTGTGGTTATGGTTGGGTCTGTGGCCGGTCCGTCTGCCCCTTGTGTGCACATTGAAATTATTGTTGGTGGTTGACAAGGATCAGCGCCGACGCCTTATTTGTGTTCATGCTCATTGCACAGCCACAGTCAGAGTCACGGACACAGCCGGGCGCCCTCTACGCGAACCAACTGCTGCTGCTGCTGCTGCCCTTGGGCAATGGGTGGACCAAGTTCTAACAAGCGGGTGTTGGCCACGTTGCAGCCCAGTTGGCAAGGGAACTTGGGTTTTTGTTGCCGCCGGCTGCCGACATATGCACACGTATTGTTCTTGTAAATCATTGATTAATTCTTACTCTTTTTGCATATGATTAGTGAAAGTTACGAGCACAGATTCAGATTCAGATTCAGATGCCAGTAAGGCTTGCCCCAGCAATGCGCAATTAAATTACGGCCACAACCCTTGGCCAAACTAAAGGTCGAACGTAAGGGAAAAGCAAGTGTTGACGTGCTAAATACTAAATGCTCTTGCATAGTAGATATATACTCAGCATTGGTACATATTCAAGATATATACAAAATAATCAACTATCAAGTTTCAGCATGAAATCTTCAAAACTGACAGAGCTCACATAGTCCGCTAGACAAAAAGCTCACTTCTTTCTGATTAAGTATATATGAACTTGTGTTATTTTATGTGCTTTATATAACTCTCAAATTAAGATACCCGCTGCTAGGGTATCAGTGCGCCATGCTCTAAGACACGTCCGTGCAACCCTTTGTTATCAACAATCCCATTCCAAGCAGGAATATGAGATGCACACACTTCCTTGACACGCTGACACTCTAGTCTGGCATCAGGCAAATGTCACGCATGTCACAAGGCCCAAACAATGACCAGATATAATCAGCATGTCTTGCAGGACTGCAGATCCTGACACTTTAGCAGCAAAACTAAAACTTTCTGAAGTGAAAACTTGCATATCTCTTGGCCAAGTTTGTGCTGCATTATGTAAACTTTTTGTGGCCCAACTTTGAACTTAGGAGTTTTCATCGAGTAGTTGACACTAGTTGGAATAGAAAAAGCATATGAAGTAGGGGCATATATATACCGAATATATAGAGAGGCAGAAAGAGAGAGAGAGAGACAACTCTCATAAGTGGAGCACACCAAGACGAGCAAATGGCCTGCGCTTCCGCACAATTAGTTCGTTCCAATTGTGCGCCTTCGGGTGTCTAGAGAAATATTTAGGAGTAAAAGAAAAAAGGAAAGCCATTTTCTGAGCTAGCAATTTACAAGGTGTTAGACTTAAGCGATGTAGGCGAGATGAGTTTAGGAGAGGGGAAGCGACGGGGTAGCTGTTCTCGGCAGACAAAAACAAATCACTTAGCCTTAATGGCTTATGAAGGCAGCGCATTTAACCAAAAAACCTCAAGCAGTTAAGCGCAGCGACAGTGGGCGTCGGCAGAAAGCCAAGGAAAGACAGGCAAAACTGGAGAAGGAGGTGCTGCAGCAATAGAAGCTGTCAAATGGTTGTCTTTACACACACAGAAAACTGGAACATTGCACGCTGCTGACGCTGCAGGCGCTGGGTATGAGATGGAGAGATGAGATGTGAGAACTGAGACCTGGGACTGGGTCTCCAGCTCGCATAATGGGCGACCCAATTAGGCAAAGTGAGTGTTGGTGTAATGTATATGAACCATAAAACAATTGAACAATGTGCTGACAACAATTAACAGACAGGCACAAAGAATCGAAAGGATAAAGACCCTAGAGACTGAAAGCAGTAGCAAAGCATATACCTGTATGAATAACTGAATACTTATATAAGTACTTATATAGGTAATACTAGAGCAAATCTTATTATATTCTTCCTATTATATGCTCTATACTGAACTATTTGGCAAGCTCATAGGCTAAGACGCCGTTGGTCTGTCTCTTAAAACAGACTACTTCGGAATTTGATTAACTAAAAGCTATAGATTCTATTGCAAACATATGCCTGGCCGATAAATTTCTTACAGCTGTCTGTCATTTGCTTATTAGATTTGTCAATGCAACAGTTTTTTGTCAAGTACATCCCCCCAGCTGGCCATAGAAATCATCGGAATTGCAAATAGATTGAGCACAAAAAACTTTTGCCCAGCACAAATGTCGGGTGTCACATGCAGGCGATGCGTATAAATTAGAGAATGCCACCGAGTGGCCATTGTGTGTGGCATCTTAAATGTCAAAAGTGACACCCCTCGCCCTTGCACCCTGCACCCTGCGCCCTGCACCCTCGCCTTTGCCAAGTGCACCTGAAGCGCTTCAACTTTGACTCAAACCGCCGGCAAAACAATAAATTTCCCTTTGGAAGCCATTGACTAAGGACAAAGCGGAGGCACAGCTTCAAACCTGACCAAAGCCCTTACATATCACACACACCCACACACACACACGCTTCACATTTGGGGGCCGGGCAAGAAAAATGATGACCACAATGGCCCGGCAACTGGACGCACGGCTGAACATAAGGGCATAAAAAAGGAGAACTGTTAAGGAACAACTTCTGGGCTAATAAAAAAAAAAAGAAACCAAAAAATCAAAAGGCAAAAACCAAGGGAAAACCTGCGGAAAAACCTGTTCCAAATGCATTTGGCCATTATGTCCTAGTTGGAGGGTGTTTAAGCGGAAAAGGTAAGTGAAGCTGGCGGCTCTGCTTGGCTGGGGTTGGGGTCTGGGCTTTTAGTCAATATCTCAGGGTACGCTGCAATTTTTCTTCATTTTTTGGTTTTTGTCACCCAGCATGGAACTCAGGCGGAAGTTAAGCTGTTGTTTATGTGTCATCGTAAATCATGTTCAATGTACACGAAACAATTCCACGTAAGTGGATAATGGAAACGCACATAAACTAGTTGAAGTTAGTTTTATGCTGTCGATGATGGCAACTGCGTGCACATTTAGTTCCTTAAAAGCTAAGCACACGCTGCTCTACAAAATAATCAATTTTATTGAGTAGAATGTTTCAGTATTATTGGCACTGAATCGAACCAAGTCTCGTTCTCATTGAAGCCGAAGAGATCAATAAAATTCTGTGATGAAGATGATCTTCAAAAGATACTATAGAGATCAAGCTGAAACTGCAATTGATTTGAATTGAAAAAGGAAGTGCTTAAAGAGAACTGATAGATGGATAAGAAAACTGGTTCAAGGAAAACTGAATCTGTAATGACGAAAGATGTGACCTGATTCTCTATAATTATGCGACATTAGATATTTGTAATCCAAATTGAGAGAAAACGAAGTCTGTCGCTTATCAAGACATAAACTGTCAAAAAAGGAAAAACCTGAAGATCGTTGATAGCTATATGTATATATGTCAAGCCATAAGTCAAGTCATAAGTCAAGCCATAATTGCTACACGGATCGACAAAACGTTTCTGCAGCCAATTACCCATATATAATTCATATCTACCATAGTCTGATGTATATCTAATGAAATTAAATGGTATTATTTGGCTGATTTGATCTACATTAAACACCTTTAAAGTACATCATAAGAGCCACACAACTTAGCTGGAAGCCATGAAGAGCCTTAGTTTATTTATATTACTTTTCATCCGACCTCAATTTATGAGAACTGAACCGAAAGTGCCTTTCAGCAAAGGTATGTAAAGCAACCTAAAGTCGACCATCGTATAATCAGATTTTGCTTAGGTGATTTGAAAACATCAAGTGAGATACCTTTAAATAACACGAAAGTGAGCACCTTCAGTCCCCTTAATTCAACAATAACATCCATTACGAGATCGAGAACACGTTTGCCATATCCATTTGTAGCATCAATACAGATCAATTCGAAGGGAAAGTATCAGCATCTCTGTGGCGCCACGATATTACATGCCCAATTCGTATTAACAGTGGCTCATTGCTTCAAGAAATACACTGAACTCAAAGCCAAAGATTATTTTGTGGCTGCTGGTTCCAATAAGTTGTTCGATGAGCAAGCTAAACGAGTTCGTGTCAGCAGTATAACAAAGTATATTGACTTCGACGTTCGCTATGGCTACGATATTGCCTTAATCAAATTGGAAACTCCAATGCCTCTCGACAACACTCGATTTGCCAGTTTAGATTTTAAGGACGACACGAGAAAAGGAGGCGATGTGAATGTTTTGCTACTCGGCTGGGGCCACACACAACCCAGCGTACCTAAGAATCTGGAAACTGTGCCGTTTCGCACCATAACAGATATACAGTGTTTTTTAGAGCATAAATTTAAATACTTGACTGGCTCTGAAATTTGTGCGATCAACACAGGTGGACCTCGCGGAGCGTGCGATGTGCGTGCTTGGATATTAGATACGCATATGTAGTGAATCTCTATACTAAATATAATTCCTTTTAGGGCGACTCGGGCGGACCTCTAATTGAAGAGGGAACACAATTGTTCTATGGCATGCTCTCATATGGACGCAAGCCCTGCGAGAAGGGAAAACCATACGCCTTTACACGTATCAGCGAATATGTCAACTGGATCAAGCAGAAAATGAGTGATTTGCAAAAAGTCAGTCACAAGACGACACCTTTAAAGGCCTTGAAGAAACGCTCTAAGTAGATATACGAATATGCCGCACAGTTTGTACAACTTATTCGCTGTATATTTTTCTTAATATATGCAGTATTATTCCCAGTTGACGTTTGCTTTTTCTCTTCTTTCGTTCGACAAACGTTCTCAAATGCAAATAAAAGAAGTCACTTAAAAAATTATGCCGCCCACTTTAGCAAGTGCCACGGGATATCCACGGATAAAAATGTGTTAATGTGCCGAGCGGCAACGCTTTTAGAATTCATGTCAGTTTTATAAGGTAACAGATTCACGCGCTATTGTCACTTACGCTGATTTCCGGAAAAGGCCCCCAGAGAGGAACCCCAGATCACTGAGGACGAAGCCATGCCCCAACCAGGCGCAGGCAGTACAAATGACAGTTACGTGTGCGGGTATTCCATTTCTTTTAACTGCTTTTTATATTGCATACTCTGTAAGAAGTTAAGCAGGGCATATCTGCAGACTTTGTGTAATGTAAAGGAAAAGAACAATTTAAAATCGACTCAGCAGATATATTAGAAATATTTGAACAATCATCAGTTAAATTAACAGAAACTTATAGGTTTTCCCAGCTAAGTTCTATATATTTGATGAAAAAGTAAACTTTCCCATTTATTTTTATAAATTCTCGAAATATTGACTTTTTACTGGCACAGCTGCATGCGTAAGCTGTGTTGACTTTGTTTTCTGAACAGAGTTCAAGGTAGATGACATTCATATAAGTATATAAATACATATATATATATATATATATATAAAAGCTAGTCGACTGCCATCACAGTTCAATTGAAGCAATTGTGAAATGTGGACGCGTTTTCTCTGGCTCTTCTTGACGATTATCTTTGCCTGGAGCTGCGGCTCAGTTGGAGCCTACAGACTGCTGGACTCCCTCGACGAGCCTTTGGAAAGCTGTCCAGTGGTCAAATTAGGCGCACAGCACAAGACATATTACAATGTCAATAAATTGAAAGGGAACGAGGCAGACGTAAAAGAAAGATGCGACATACCCGAGAGGCGGCAGAAGTCCGTGCACTTGCTGTTGCGCATTTTCAGCATCAGCAGACTTATGAGAAATGAGCCGGAACATATAATACCCAGAGCCCCATTGAAACACGGAGTTGGGCTATTCAGAGAAACTCGACTTTTCGAGAAACCCAGACGAAAACTGATTCTGGTTTTAAACGAAAAGCCCGAGAAGTCAGATGCAAGCAATCTTAGTTTTATGTAACAAATAATATATTTTTCATACTTTCAATTCATCAAGTTTTAGTTAGTTTTAGGAGCTCATAATTAAGGAAAGTTTCCAAAACACATGCGGCCACATTTGGCCATAAATTAAAAACATTTTGCTGCTGCTAAAGGATTAAGCAGTCAAAGCAAACGACTTCGAGCCCAAATAGCTTTAAGAGACTTTTGCCAATAAATAATAAGACTCACATATGCGCAGCTTTGGGCTTTGACATAAAAAGCTTCTGTGGCAGTTGATTGCGGTTGCACAACCACCCAGCCCAGCCAGCAAGAAAAGCCACTCGCATAAAAAATGATGTTATATGCATGACCCTAAATTAATCTAGCGAAACCTTTTCCTTGCGCAACGAGAGCCCCAACTCTGCTTTGCTCCGGATACATCAAAGCCACTGAAGTATGACAGAAACGAAGCTATTTGAATATCCAATGTCATATGCGAACAAATTAAATTTGGCTTATGACCAGCTCAGAAAAAGAGATGGAGAGACAAAGAAGGAGAGAAAGAGCGAGAAGTAAGCCACAAAACGGGGAAGTTTGCTGCATATCTTTTATGTTGAGCTCATAAAGAAGTGGTCCTTGGCCATTTGGATATTTCATAATTTCAAATATTTTTTGTGTGCCATAAAATGGCTCATTACGAGTTTTCAAGTGCCCAAATAAAATACAGACTAGGTAAATATTATATTTGATCTATAAAAAACGATGCCAGAGAATTCCTCTCACTTCTATCTTATTGTACCTTAAGCTTTCAACTGAGAAGTTGTATCTTTGTTAAGCCAAAACACATATTATTATATATATATACTCCTTTAATATATTTCTCTTATAAGATTTTCGGGATACGAATCAAGCTAAAAGAAGTGCTGAAAACTAGCTGCGCAATATGTCGCTTGCAGCGAATTGAAATTATGCAAAACAAAAGTAAGAAATAGAATTTCATTTGAAATTCAAAATTCTTTTCGCAACAAGACGTTGCCAGACTGTGGCAGAGAGAGGCTCATTCGCATGCAGTTGGCGTAGCGCAAAGTGGATATTGATATTTTGTTCTTAAATTTTGTTATTTATGTGGACACGGTTCCCCCGCCCCTGCTCAAACATATATATATATATATAAATTTATATATTCCATATAAGCGAAACAGAAGTTTACAATTTGCACAGGCGAGCGACATTTTTGCCAAGTTGTGCAAATTTAACGCGACATTGTGAGCGTTCCTGGGCCTGCCCTGCTCTGCCCTTGCCAGCCTGCCTTTTGCAACCTTTTTTCTATTCGGGGCGTGGCGGCGTCCGCCCTGGGTCCCGGTGTTGTCATGCCCATTGACATGCATGTCGTGTGCCAGTGCAGAGGCCGCCGCTTAACTTTGACAGACCAAACCAAATAACCCGCCCCAGCGACCCACTCCCAAGCTTTTCCAAAATTTTGCCATAAATTCTGCAACGTTTTCGACACATTGCAAAAGTTTTTTTAGCAACCACTTGAATTTTTCAATTGTCACAAATTTATTTTAATACAGCGTGAAATTTATGAGTGACAAATTGAATTTGAAAATTGAGTAATATTTTTACTTTAACATGGGGGAAAGTGGGTTTAAGTTCAGAAATAGAATATTTACTTTAAAAATCGAAATAAAATAAGAGCTAAAACAGAGAATTAATATTTTAAATTATTTTGAGTTTTTCTTTCTATAAGCTGAACTATTCGAATTATATTTTTCCGGCCTAAAACTTTTATCATAAAAATATATTAAAGACTTGTTCAACTTTATTTCCACAGCTCCCCCAAATATATTTGATTGATGATTCTTTTCTGACCAACAACGGCAAAGCATCACATGGTTTAGCCCATGTCAGAGTGATTCGATATGGATTGGTTTGGCTGCAGGACATTTGTAAGCACTAGGCACAGCCTCGCACAACGGCCTGGCTTAAGGATATGCGCGTGTTTTATATTGTTTCAAATGGGCCAATACACTAAACACTCCATAAATAAAACCATTAGAGGCGCCATTAAATGTGGCAGAAGAAAAAAAAGGAAAATAATATTCAAGTGAAGCAATTTTTTGTTTATCATTTTTATGTGCGCCCTGAGTATGTGGGCGTGTGTGCGGGAGTGTGCCTGTGCGTATGTGTGTGTGTGTGTTTGACAATCGCAATCATATAAATCTTAATGTTTATAAATCACGTCGTATTGTTATGCCCCAGGGTCACTTTTTACGATAAAGCAAACTTCAGATTGTTGAGCTGGGAAAAACTAAATACTTGAATTTTAGGATTTCATAAGATCTTGGAATATATTGAAATTGGATCAAGCAAAGCAAAGCAAATCAAAGCCTCATTACTTGAATACACATACTGAGAGTTCGTGGTCTTTAAGATGGAATTGGAACCAAACTGGGGTAAATCATAAAAATTATAAGTACATTTCAACAAATGCTTTCAAGCTTCAAGCAGGGGACACTTTCTGCTCGATTTCTCAATAGATTATTTTGTGGCACTTTTAATATGCAAATAATTTGATGCTGCCAAATGGCAGCCAACTGTGACCCAAGCAGCAGATGACAATGCCCAACGCCCTCTGCAAAAGAAACATGCGAAATCTATTCAAGAGTCAAGTTGACAACAAAGCGACGAGGCCTACTTGGCACTTGCCAAGCCAAGAAGCAGAGACAGGATGTGACCATGGCATCGGGATCTGCTCTCCCCGTTGCTACGCCATTTGAATATGACACACAGATGACAGCTGCTCCAGCTACGGCCCGGAATCTTACTGTTCCCGGTTCGGCCTGTTCGCCCTGATGATGCGTGCGCATTGTGCGCATTTGACGTTTGGTTTATTAATCAGTTTGGCCTGCGGCCAGGCCAGGCCAGGGCAGGGCACAGCACGGCAGGGCCAGGGCCAAGCACAACCAAACGCCGCCGCAATTTTCTACAAATGAATAATTTTTGTGCAACACACAAAAAAAAATAAAAGGCAAAGTCAAAAAGCAGCGGCCGCAAAAGGACTTGCCACAATCCTCAGTTCATATTTTTGTGGCGCAACTCGCATTTTAATTTCTCACAAAAGAAAAATGAAGTCAAACAAATGTCAGTCGTGTGTTAATCAACTGTAAATAAATGGCGCAAAGATTAGAGAGAAAAGGCAAAAAAAAAAAAATAAAACTGGGAAAAGCACCTTTGGGCTGGTGTTAATAGAGTAGACTAGCAGATGACCTGTAATCAAGGCTGAAGTGTGACACGCTCAGACACATTTCTCAATGTTTCCGATATCTAATACCTTTAGTAGTTATATTACATATTATATATTGAATTTAGTTCAGATACAGTTAATGTGGAGATACTTTTCATGCATCAACTCATTGCTCGAAAAATTATTAATAGAAAGTACAACTCTTTTCATACAACCCATACTCATTTCTCCATAGATTCTCTCTTCAATTTTATCACCTTATAGCCCCAAAAAAACCAAGTTTTATCCGCTTTTACAGGGTATAAAAACGGCTTGCTGCGACAGCCCTGCAAAAATAAGCAAATAAAAAATGGAGTGAGATGCACGCTACAACAAAAACCCCAAACAAATGTGAAAAAAATTGGCTTGACGAAAATATTTAATGGTTTTTTAAATGTTTTTTAAATGTGCGTGAAAAATCTGTCACTGGAAAAGCAAACAAAGGAAAAGCAACAACTCGCAATACTTCAAAAGCTTAAAGTTGCCGCAACATTTCCTGTTTTTCTGGGATATCCCATGCAAATTAGTTATACGAAAAGTTGTTATCATGAATCCAAGGCGCGCTGTTACTGCTTGGCACCCACTAAATCCGCAGCACAGCTCGAACTTGAATGCCCAATAGAGTAGAGAGGAAGCCGTAGCCATGGCCAAACCCCCAGCAACGCCTACAATAAATAAATAAATGCTCAGACACTGTCCTTTTCAAGGCGTTGCCCCAAGGGCAGGAGGCTGGCGCATGGGGCTGCCTGCCTGGTGTTGATGATACTATTATCTTAGATCGCGGCTGGGTTGATGGCAAGGACTCGCAAGCTGTCAGTGGACGCGGCCAAGCACTTCAATAGTCCTTTTACAATTCATAGATATACGCACTTAGATAGTCGGTTGGAAAAAATCGTTTTATTGGCTTTCGAAGTCCTTTTTGTCGCCTCAGCCGCCCACCGACAGCAACAAGGAGACATAAACCGCAAATAAGTTTAACATTGTACAACATTTACATTCCGGCAAGTGCCAGAGGTTTCCCTTTTGTTATTGTATTTGCTGTGATTTGTGTGGCTTTGTGTCGGGCAGCGCTCGAATTTTAAAATGCCAAGCACAGTGGGGCAAACATTGCAGGAGAGCAACAAAAACGGAAGAGACTCTTACACAAATAAAAAAAATGAAAACTCAGGTAGTCTAAAGAGTGGGCAAAGTATTCCATAGCAAACTAGTTTTGTAGTATGTTTTAGACTCATTCACAAAAACTAGCCAACTTATGCCTGAGCTCTAGAGCACTTCTCACTAAACAGTACTCATTACTTTAAGCCAAACTGTTAAATATTGATAATCGCACAGCCCAAACGGCCAGCCTTGGCCCACTGTGCCACCTCTTAGCCTCTGTCAAGAAAAAGGGGTGCAAATGATGCAATTTGTAAAATGGCTTGTTCTTTCTTGAGCCCCAGGCGAAAGTATAGACGTGGCTATAAGGCGACACAATGCTATCTAATCTTACTTGATATTATTTTTACGTTAAACTTGCATTTCAGCACACTTTCAAGGCGGAGTTTTGGGCGCCATTGTTCGAGCATCCCGGAAATCTAACAAATTGCCTTTAACATAACGAGTCGTGTCTTTAAACTTGAAAACAAGCGTTTTTAATGACATTTAACAGGAAATGCCAGCGAACGCATCAATCATTTGTCAGCCATAAAAATTCGCTACACATGAGCATTAAATTATAAAAAATAGAAAAGCCCTGACAACAGCAACTACAACAACCAAAACAACCGAAAGAGAACATTTCTTAATGGTTCTTTGTAAAAATGACCTTGTAAGTTATGAGGCACTGCCGGGCGCCCTTTTAGCCAAAAAGCCACGAGTCGAGGTTCAACAACGGTCACTCCACAGAGTTTGGCACAAGCCAGAGAGCCATCATCCACTTGTGGCTCAGTGGCTAAGGGCAGTGGGTGGCGCGGGTTCAATTGGTTTGCCAACCGCCTACGCCTGCTGTGTGTAAAAGAAAGACAGGGAGAGAGAGACTAAGTAAGGGTGAGAGGAAGGTAGTCAAGTGCGTGCGCGCTCATATGTGAACATTTATTGGAAAACATTATTATTTATGACTTTTTGAATGACATCGCTTGAACTTTTTCAAGCAATAAAGTCCAGGCACAATAACAACGGATATTGCGGCGGGACTTCAATTTTTTATATCCGCTTTTTAAAATTGCATTTTCTATAGAGAATTGAGAGTTTCTATTTTAATTTTGATTTATGAAGATATTCATTAGAAATTAGGTACATACGATGTACGAGAATTGAGGAAATATCAATGAAATGAGCCTGGGAATACGAACTCGATTATTATTCATCATTTCAGTAATTTGTTACACGTTCTTTTCCTCAAGATAGCCCAACTAAACTAAGTATGCTACTTCCAAAGGAGAAACAAATTTCTTAAGTCTCAAGCTCAATCTAAAATGAAAATCTTTATATCCACGCATTAAACAACCTCACAGCCTCGATATCACTACGCCAAAGGGTTGTATCCCAGCCTCCGTTTCAGTCAAGAGTTCCCTCCCCATGTGAAGGACGTAACATATATGCGCACGCTTTAAGATCTTATCAAATAACCATGAAAACAAAAATGATTATTTTAAGTAATTGCCAGCTATTGTTAGCTGACAAAATACCAACAAAAACGGATCGTTTTCTTAAGGCAGGCATTCCTAGCCTTCATTTAAACTAAAACTGTGACTTTTGCCTTTATTTACTGCAGGTAGAAAACTCTTCTCTTATTTACTTCTGCCATATAGACAAAAAAAGGGAAGTTATTGTATATGTATGAGTGAGATATGTACATGCTCCAGGCGCATGACCCATTCCTGAACCCACACAAAGCACTGCCAGCTTGGCATACGAAGAATACACGAACTCTCGCACTCCGACTAAACTAATGCCATCCTCGTCTAACCTCGTATCTCTGTGTGGGTGAGTCAAAGCGTAGATAGCTGCCTGCCATAGGACGACAACGAAGTGAACGATGTCGACTCCCCATACATATAGAATGTCCTAAGGTGGAGCAGAAGCCATGACTGCGGCCATGACAGCGATAATGTATACAAACCAAGCGGAAGACGGGTATAGCAATACAGTGGGAAGGCGGTGGGAGGGAGCTAGAAGATGGGAGCAACATTTGTAGGGTTGCCGTTGCTACGGTCCCACCCACCGGACCAGACCCAACCAAATGCCTGCTAACATCTGCAGCTCTCTCTCTCTCTCTCACTCACTCACTTTCTCTACTTATTGCCTGTTTCAGCTTTGTGGGTATTAAGTTTTGGTCTTAATACTAAAGCTAAACGTCTGTAGCCGCACTTATCGAGTTACTACTAGGAAGCTTATCTTTATGTTAAAAGTGAGTTTTCTTAGTTTTTTTAATAAAAGGAATATAAATGCAATCTAAGTAAATTATTAGCAAGTTGACTTTAAAATATTAAAATAAAAAAATTCTGTTAATTATTAAGATTCTGAAAATTTAAAATATATGGCGAAGAGATAACAAAAAATATATTAATGGAAATGATTACCTTGAAAATGATTTACCGTTTCTAAATCACCGATTCTTATATCGTAATATCTTTATTTATTTATATTATAATATATTTTTATTATAATTCCAAAAACTTGTTTTTTTTTTCATAGGAGATTAAACTGAAATATTTCCGAGAAATTAGGTCAAAACGAAATACATTTAAATATATAGTTTTATGAACTTCAGTTTAATAATTGTAGAATTCGTGATGAAAATGATCTGTTTAACAAGAGGATTAAAATGAAATGAAATACAAATTGAAATGAAATGAAATACAAATTATGTTATACAAAAAACTTTATCCCTACATGTTAAATATTTAAAGGCGTAATATATATATATATATAACTTGCTCTTGAGTGATTGTAACAACTATAGAAGGTTGCTCTGAAATTCGTATTATAAAAGATCGTGACAGTTCGGTAAAAGTATTTATAAAAACCAAATATTTAAGAATGATATTATTCAATTATAAGTTTGTTTCGGATTTCTGAAATCAACTGCTTAGCTATAAGTACTTAAATTATGTGTATCAAAAATGCAGACAGAAATCTGTGCGTATGCAATGCACAACAAATTCACTAGGGACGCTTTTTTATGGCGCATTCTGTTAAACGACACGATGTGGTTTGCGTGTGCGAGGGTCAGGGGTAGCTGGGAAAAGCCGGCGCCATATCCAAACAAGATGTGGTTTTTTGCAGCAACCCCAACAGTAAAATTGTATTCTTATCGAGCCAACAACTTTAAGCATAGACCGTGGGGACGTGGGTCAGTTGTTTTTTAGCTGCCTGTTGACTGGACGGACATGTGAAACACTTTTGTTTTATCGTGAACGATGATACATCAGCCATCAAGTTGATTAACTCACATGGAATGTGCCAAAGTGCCGAAAATCAAATTAAATTGCCTTGATGCGAGTGTTTGTGACATATCCAAGTGGGTTATGAGGGAGTTTTGTCGTGGGATGCTGCTACGCCATTTGATTTATGCATTGCAAATCGATAGGTTGTGTTGGTCCTTAGGGTAAAGGGATAAGTGTCACATGCACATAGATGATGAGATGGTGCACATCACATTGGAAAATTTGATGATGTGAGTAACAAGTTGACACTAGGCGGATTAGATCTGCTTGGCCTCTGCGTACTTCTGGTGCTTTTGCTCTAGGAACTTAAAGACAGATTCGATGGCTGCAGAGGAGGTCCATTCGTGCTCCGGATGTCCAGCAGATACGCAAGTTATATTTTTATCCTTATCACCATGTGTTAGATCGGTGTCAAGCGGCTCATTGCTGGAGACCCAATTGCAGGTTACATCTAGAAAGTATTTTTGACAACTAGCTGGCGGATTACCTACTGTGCCGTCGGTTAGCGCAATGGCATATACTTTTTCTTTGAAAAATTTCGTAAACTTTTCCGCCTGCAATATATAAAATATTAATAAAATATCTACTGGAAATACGTATTCACTTACCAGAGCTCTGCACACAGATCCACCAAAGCTATGTGCCACTATGGCCACACTTTCAGGTTGCGATGGCATGATTATATGCTCCCATACATAAGCGGCATGATTCATGGAATTGTCTACACCTTTGATAGGCGTACGCTTGCCCTTTATTATACGTGTGGTGTCATTCGTATTCGTGACGAGTATATCATAGCCCAGCTTCTGCGCGCGTTGTATATATGGCAGCTGTGTTCCATGCTCCAGACAGTTGTTAATAATCAATCTAATAGACATCATAGGATTTAATATCTATCTATAGACCATCTGAATAAACTGTTAACACAGCTAAATTATTTTGCCTTGCATAATTTTAGTTCGGCTTCAAACAGTTCAGACAGTTGAAAGTCAGACAAATTGAAAGATATATATATATATATATAGAGTTTCTACCTTCTTGCCCATTGGCCTGCCAGAACATAGCCGCTGCCGTGGATGAGCACAAGCAGCTTCTTCGAGTGGGCCAGAGGTTGAGGCTGTGTGAAGACGAAAGTGGAACGCTCAATGGGCTCTCCAATGGGTACATAGGTCCTCTTTAATCCATTCTTTTCCAGTAGCTCATATATTATGTCGGGTATCTGATTGGCTAGTTGTTCGTAATGCTCCTGATTTATAGCCGGATTGTCGCTTATCTTAAATTCATAAGGCAGATCACCGGGCTTGCCGCTGGCTGCATCTATTTTGCGTAGTTCGCCAGCTGCACGTACATATGGGTAACTGAGTATGTGACATAAACTGTAATTATTTGTATAATCACCTTCATTGAATGCATATCCGAATTCCCTCAAACGTGCAATTGCTTCCTGGCTGCTGTTAGTACAAGGATCTGACATGGTACTTTTTTGACGACTATAAATAGCGGCTTTGGTAATTGAAGTGATATATTTAAAGCGCCGCCACAGTGTCATTTTAATGCATGTTACTTACTTAATACAAGCTCACGTCTATTTGCAAATACACCGGCGTAGTTGGCAGCAACGATACCAATTGCAACTCTACACAAATTGACAGCCCTCTAAACGTGGCGGTATGTTGATATATACACAACTCATCATCGATTAGATTTTTATCGGTTAATGGTTTAAATGTTCTTTTATTAAGTTTTAAGTTAGTTTCTCTGTTCAAATTTCAAAAGCGGCATAGTAGCTAATTTCATGGTTACATTTTCAACATATTCGAGATTTTTAAAATTAAAACTTGTGCTAAATTTATAGTTTCTCAGTAATTTTGCCAACGTGAGTTTTATAGATAAGAGACCATATCGCCACCCTGAAAATTTGATATTTAATTATTATTATAAATTTTAAATGCATATTTATAAAATTCAACTGACCTATGCAGTTACGTATACCCTTTGTAAAGGGTATAAAACCGTAGGGATGTATGTCCTGGAAATTGTGTGGCAGAAAGTGATCAGGATTGAAAGATTCCGCCTCTTCTCCCCATATATCCTTTCTGCGTTGCATTTCAAATATGTTAATAATAATTTGCATGCCTTTGGGTATCACAACGCCGCTTGATAGCCGCACAGGTTGAGACGTTTGCCGTGCTACGATTGGAACCGGCGGTATTAATCGCAAACATTCATTCACAACGAGATCCAAATAAACCATTTGTTGTATATCTTCGTAGCTAATTGAAAAGTCGCCCGCTTTAGGAAACAGAGCTTGAATTTCCCCAAATGCCTTTTCTTGATACTCTGGAAACATGGCTAGCAGCATGAGCGTAAAGGCTACTGCATTCGAGGATGTCTCAACGGCTGCAGCAACCAATACACACGACTCATCTTCAACATCCTTTCTGGCAAAGGTGCCACGTTTAAATTGGTGAATTGCCAAATTGAGAACAGAATTATTATTGCAGGGGGTTTCATCTTTAATATCTTCAGAGAGCTTCTGATCCACTATCTGTAAAAACATATGTATTACTAATGATTCTGTCAGAGAGGGAGCATTTGTTACCTTGGTTATAAATGTACTTGCATAGGTTTTGGATTTTACAAATTGCTCCTCTTTGCCCAACATTTGACGTATAATTGGATTATACAACCACGGAGAGTGCATAATTTCCGTTGCGCATTCTATAAGCCTAAATTCGAATAGCTGAATACTCTTGAAACAAGATTTACTCACCATTGAAAATGAACCACTATAGAGTTATCCTGGAATTTTGGATCTTCCTTAACACAAGTGCCCATTGTGGTTTCTTACAACAACACAGACTTAAATTAATATATTTTTTTTAATTTAAGGCTTATACTTACGCGTTGCTATGCTTAATGTGAACAGCTGTAAACATGGCAATATATCCCTTTCTTCGCCATCTGCTAATTTGTTGAACTCTTTAAGTAATATTCCTGTCTCCTTGTTGAAAATCGGAAAGAAACTCAGCAACATTTTGTGGCTGAAAGCGGGATTTAAGATCTTTCTATGTTTGGTCCAATCGGAATCTAGAGTTAGGTCTAATTAGTTATCCTTTAAGAAAATTAAATGAGATTGCTACCGTGCAGAGTGATCAAGCCCTTGCCCAAAGAATCTTCTATAATCTTATAGAAGAAACTCTTATTCACACAATTTGGAGACGTTAATATATCCCGTGTTACTTGAGGATCACTGACAATAAGCGCAGGAAATGGACCCAGCCAGGACACAAAAATGTTTCCATATTTCTTGATATAAGTTCTTAGCAGCTTGAGCACAACTAAATAAAAAATACAAATTAGTATATATATATTACTTTGCTTAAAATCGATCTGCTGCTCAATTTACCTCCGTTATGGGATAATTTTAATGCTATGCCAATTAAAGGATATCCTAGAGGACCAGGAAACTTCATAGAAAGCTTATAAAACTCACGACGTGTCCACAGATAATAAAGCACTAGCAAAGCGACTAAGATTATGCACAAAATTAAATCCATGACTGAACGATCTTAAAAGCAAAAATACTTTAAGCATTTAAGCTGGAGTTAAGTTCTTATATATAGCTGAGGGAAGTTACAAATTGATTTCCATCCATTTAAGTTTATAGCTGTTGCACTTTGAATTTTATTTTTATGCCTATTAGAGACATAAACGAGAATGAACTCTCGAACTGATAATTTTCATTGTGCGGTGATAATTTGCTCATTGCGAAGGGTAATGTATAATGCTCGTATTGTATGTATCACCCATTTGTATTGCAAGCTCTAAAATCGGAAAAGTCGAGTTTCTTAGTTCAAATGAACTTACTATCGAACTTTTAAGAATAATCAACAAAGTTCGATAAATGGAGCCAGAACATTGTTGAAAGTTCACTCAGTTAGTTCTGTTTTTGACATAATTTTGGATTGTGATTACTTATATAACGATATATATGAATACCTCCTAAGCGCACTGTTTCATTAGACCATAAAGTCACGGCTGTAAACGAATGACCAATAATTTGATCTTTACAGAGCTTAAAATCTCTCGTCTGAGCCGATCCGTGTTTTGTTTTCTTTTATTGCCCGAAAACTAATGGCAAGTAAATGGTTGTGTACCACTCAGAATTAACTGTTTTAAGGTTCTCTAGTGCTCTAGCTGTAACAGGACATTTTTAGAAATAACGAGGGTCTCGTTTGACTTGAGGTGCTTCTTCCGCGAACAACTTTTGTTGCATTAAGCTCGTCATGGCTCGTCATATTTATCGGCCATTTTTTGCATCGTTTCTGTGTTGTCCTGTCTCTGTGTTGAAAAACGAAATAAACTTAGCAACATTTTCTGGCTAAATGCGGGATTCAAGATTTTGCTGTGTTGGGTCCAATGCGGATCTGGAATAAGATAAAAATTAGTAACACTATAAGATAATTAAATGAGTCGTCTACCTTCCAAGGTGAATAATCCTCTGCCCACACCACCGTTGAAAATATTATAAAAGACACTTGGTAAAAGTGCTTAACGAATTAAGTACACCTAAAAATTTTATATAAATATGAAAGTTTACTTAAGCGCCCTGCTTCAGTACAATTGACCTTCTTTATGCCAAGAAACTTAATAAAAAACTTATAAAACTCTCGACGTGTCCACAGATAATAAAGTACTAGCAAAGCAACAAATACTATACACAAGACTGAATCCATGACTGAACGATCTAAAGAGCAAAAACACCTTAACTAAAGTAAATTTCTTTTATATAACCGCGAGACAGTTACAATTTGATTACCATCCATTTTGATTTATTAGCTGCTGCACATCCCATTTTGTTTTAATGTGATATACATAAATAAAGTGAACTCTCAAGTTCAGCTATTCGTTGGTATTTCCTTGACGAGCTCTAATTTTTCGGCGAAGAGTAATATAGCGTGTATGTAGATTTGAAAAAATAATTTTCTATATATTAGGTGTTAGCCAATATGTAAGAATAAAATACCAATTTTAAATTTTCCGTGCTTAACCAGCACTCTATCAATCGAAAAAGTCGATTCTTATTTCGAAGTTCGAATGTACTTCGAACCATTTAAAATACTCAGCAGCCCATCAGCTGTTTCTTATTACGGCAACGTTCGTTTGGCAGCATTTAAATCCCAAGCTCTGAATATTTAATGCTTTCGAATTAAAACCTTAAAAATTTTAAATTTTAAGTGTTCCCGCTAGGTACAAAGTAATTCAAATAATCATATTAATAAAATACCATTCCAACTATCGAAAACAAGTGGAAAATCAGCTGTTTTGTTTCGTTGGCAGTTATCGATATGTCATCATTAGCGGAATCCAAACAACACAAACAAAAACGGACACATCGCATCAATGCTGATTGCATTCACTGCTAGTTCGCTGCCACGCTGCCAAAATTAAAAGTTATAAATGCAAAAAACGGCGTACGCATTCAGGGATTCGGAAAACTCGCCACGCACAATGCTTATGCGTGACTGGCGTACCGCCTTGCGTACGCCAACCTATCGAATTGGCAATCGCACCGTTCGCTTTAATTATCATTTTGCATTACTTGTGTTTTGTGCCGTGGTGCTAGTATGGCTCTTTTTATATGCGCGACAAGGCAGTCGCAGTTCCTCCGATGGATATTGGCTGCGCACCCAGTATGCCAGTGAAGCCAGCTCTATTCTCGCAATACCATACAATTCAACGTATCCACTGACACAGCCTTTGAGCGTGCAAGGCGGCGTCTGCAATCGCTTCAGATAAGCTGGCCCGGCTATATGATACACGAGAGCGTTGTCTGGTCACAGGTGCATCAGCGCTGGTATTTTCTGCCACGTCGCTGCTCAAAAGAAAAGTTAGTCATGTAGACACGATGTGGTTTGCGTGTGCGAGGGTCAGGGGTAGCTGGGAAAAGCCGGCGCCATAGCCAAACAAGATGTGGTTTTTTGCAGCAACCCCAACAGTAAAATTGTATTCTTATCGAGCCAACAACTTTAAGCATAGACCGTGGGGACGTGGGTCAGTTGTTTTTTAGCTGCCTGTTGACTGGACGGACATGTGAAACACTTTTGTTTTATCGTGAACGATGATACATCAGCCATCAAGTTGATTAACTCACATGGAATGTGCCAAAGTGCCGAAAATCAAATTAAATTGCCTTGATGCGAGTGTTTGTGACATATCCAAGTGGGTTATGAGGGAGTTTTGTCGTGGGATGCTGCTACGCCATTTGATTTATGCATTGCAAATCGATAGGTTGTGTTGGTCCTTAGGGTAAAGGGATAAGTGTCACATGCACATAGATGATGAGATGGTGCACATCACATTGGAAAATTTGATGAAGTGAGTAACAAGTTGACACTAGGCGGATTAGATCTGCTTGGCCTCTGCGTACTTCTGGTGCTTTTGCTCTAGGAACTTAAAGACAGATTCGATGGCTGCAGAGGAGGTCCATTCGTGCTCCGGATGTCCAGCAGATACGCAAGTTATATTTTTATCCTTATCACCATGTGTTAGATCGGTGTCAAGCGGCTCATTGCTGGAGACCCAATTGCAGGTTACATCTAGAAAGTATTTTTGACAACTAGCTGGCGGATTACCTACTGTGCCGTCGGTTAGCGCAATGGCATATACTTTTTCTTTGAAAAATTTCGTAAACTTTTCCGCCTGCAATATATAAAATATTAATAAAATATCTACTGGAAATACGTATTCACTTACCAGAGCTCTGCACACAGATCCACCAAAGCTATGTGCCACTATGGCCACACTTTCAGGTTGCGATGGCATGATTATATGCTCCCATACATAAGCGGCATGATTCATGGAATTGTCTACACCTTTGATAGGCGTACGCTTGCCCTTTATTATACGTGTGGTGTCATTCGTATTCGTGACGAGTATATCATAGCCCAGCTTCTGCGCGCGTTGTATATATGGCAGCTGTGTTCCATGCTCCAGAGAGTTGTTAATAATCAATCTAATAGACATCATAGGATTTAATATCTATCTATAGACCATCTGAATAAACTGTTAACACTGCTAAATTATTTTGCCTTGCATAATTTTAGTTCGGCTTCAACCAGTTCAGACAGTTGAAAGTCAGACAAATTGAAAGATATATATATATATATATATAGAGTTTCTACCTTCTTGCCCATTGGCCTGCCAGAACATAGCCGCTGCCGTGGATGAGCACAAGCAGCTTCTTCGAGTGGGCCAGAGGTTGAGGCTGTGTGAAGACGAAAGTGGAACGCTCAATGGGCTCTCCAATAGGTCCTCTTTAATCCATTCTTTTCCAGTAGCTCATATATTATGTCGGGTATCTGATTGGCTAGTTGTTTGTAATGCTCCTGATTTGTAGCCGGATTGTCGCTTATCTAAATTCATAAGGCAGATCACCGGGCTTGCCGCTGGCTGCATCTATTTTGCGTAGTTCGCCAGCTGCACGTACATATGGGTAACTGAGTATGTGACATAAACTGTAATTATTTGTATAATCACCTTCATTGAATGCATATCCGAATTCCCTCAAACGTGCAATTGCTTCCTGGCTGCTGTTAGTACAAGGATCTGACATGGTACTTTTTTGACGACTATAAATAGCGGCTTTGGTAATTGAAGTGATATATTTAAAGCGCCGCCACATAGTGTCATTTTAATGCATGTTACTTACTTAATACAAGCTCACGTCTATTTGCAAATACACCGGCGTAGTTGGCAGCAACGATACCAATTGCAACTCTACACAAATTGACAGCCCTCTAAACGTGGCGGTATGTTGATATATACAGAACTCATCATCGATTAGATTTTTATCGGTTAATGGTTTAAATGTTCTTTTATTAAGTTTTAAGTTAGTTTCTCTGTTCAAATTTCAAAAGCGGCATAGTAGCTAATTTCATGGTTACATTTTCAACATATTCGAGATTTTTAAAATTAAAACTTGTGCTAAATTTATAGTTTCTCAGTAATTTTGCCAACGTGAGTTTTATAGATAAGAGACCATATCGCCACCCTGAAAATTTGATATTTAATTATTATTATAAATTTTAAATGCATATTTATAAAATTCAACTGACCTATGCAGTTACGTATACCCTTTGTAAAGGGTATAAAACCGTAGGGATGTATGTCCTGGAAATTGTGTGGCAGAAAGTGATCAGGATTGAAAGATTCCGCCTCTTCTCCCCATATATCCTTTCTGCGTTGCATTTCAAATATGTTAATAATAATTTGCATGCCTTTGGGTATCACAACGCCGCTTGATAGCCGCACAGGTTGAGACGTTTGCCGTGCTACGATTGGAACCGGCGGTATTAATCGCAAACATTCATTCACAACGAGATCCAAATAAACCATTTGTTGTATATCTTCGTAGCTAATTGAAAAGTCGCCCGCTTTAGGAAACAGAGCTTGAATTTCCCCAAATGCCTTTTCTTGATACTCTGGAAACATGGCTAGCAGCATGAGCGTAAAGGCTACTGCATTCGAGGATGTCTCAACGGCTGCAGCAACCAATACACACGACTCATCTTCAACATCCTTTCTGGCAAAGGTGCCACGTTTAAATTGGTGAATTGCCAAATTGAGAACAGAATTATTATTGCAGGGGGTTTCATCTTTAATATCTTCAGAGAGCTTCTGATCCACTATCTGTAAAAACATATGTATTACTAATGATTCTGTCAGAGAGGGAGCATTTGTTACCTTGGTTATAAATGTACTTGCATAGGTTTTGGATTTTACAAATTGCTCCTCTTTGCCCAACATTTGACGTATAATTGGATTATACAACCACGGAGAGTGCATCATTTCCGATGTGCTTTCTATAAGCCTGAATTCGAATAGCTGAATACTCTTGAAACAAGATTTACTCACCATTGAAAACAAGCCACTATAGAGTTATCCTGGAATTTTGGATCTTCCTTAACACAAGTGCCCATTGTGGTTTCTTACAACAACACAGACTTAAATTAATATATTTTTTTTAATTTAAGGCTTATACTTACGCGTTGCTATGCTTAATGTGAACAGCTGTAAACATGGCAATATATCCCTTTCTTCGCCATCTGCTAATTTGTTGAACTCTTTAAGTAATATTCCTGTCTCCTTGTTGAAAATCGGAAAGAAACTCAGCAACATTTTGTGGCTGAAAGCGGGATTTAAGATCTTTCTATGTTTGGTCCAATCGGAATCTAGAGTGAGGTCTAATTAGTTATCCTTTAAGAAAATTAAATGAGATTGCTACCGTGCAGAGTGATCAAGCCCTTGCCCAAAGAATCTTCTACAATCTTATAGAAGAAACTCTTATTCACACAATTTGGAGACGTTAATAGATCCCGTGTTACTTGAGGATCACTGACAATAAGCGCAGGAAATGGACCCAGCCAGGACACAAAAATGTTTCCATATTTCTTGATATAAGTTCTTAGCAGCTTGAGCCCAACTAAATAAAAAATACAAATTAGTATATATATATTACTTTGCTTAAAATCGATCTGCTGCTCAATTTACCTCCGTTATGGGATAATTTTAATGCTATGCCAATTAAAGGATATCCTAGAGGACCAGGAAACTTCATAGAAAGCTTATAAAACTCACGACGTGTCCACAGATAATAAAGCACTAGCAAAGCGACTAAGATTATGCACAAAATTAAATCCATGACTGAACGATCTTAAAAGCAAAAATACTTTAAGCATTTAAGCTGGAGTTAAGTTCTTATATATAGCTGAGGGAAGTTACAAATTGATTTCCATCCATTTAAGTTTATAGCTGTTGCACTTTGAATTTTATTTTTATGCCTATTAGAGACATAAACGAGAATGAACTCTCGAACTGATAATTTTCATTGTGCGGTGATAATTTGCTCATTGCGAAGGGTAATGTATAATGCTCGTATTGTATGTATCACCCATTTGTATTGCAAGCTCTAAAATCGGAAAAGTCGAGTTTCTTAGTTCAAATGAACTTACTATCGAACTTTTAAGAATAATCAACAAAGTTCGATAAATGGAGCCAGAACATTGTTGAAAGTTCACTCAGTTAGTTCTGTTTTTGACATAATTTTGGATTGTGATTACTTATATAACGATATATATGAATACCTCCTAAGCGCACTGTTTCATTAGACCATAAAGTCACGGCTGTAAACGAATGACCAATAATTTGATCTTTACAGAGCTTAAAATCTCTCGTCTGAGCCGATCCGTGTTTTGTTTTCTTTTATTGCCCGAAAACTAATGGCAAGTAAATGGTTGTGTACCACTCAGAATTAACTGTTTTAAGGTTCTCTAGTGCTCTAGCTGTAACAGGACATTTTTAGAAATAACGAGGGTCTCGTTTGACTTGAGGTGCTTCTTCCGCGAACAACTTTTGTTGCATTAAGCTCGTCATGGCTCGTCATATTTATCGGCCATTTTTTGCATCGTTTCTGTGTTGTCCTGTCTCTGTGTTGAAAAACGAAATAAACTTAGCAACATTTTCTGGCTAAATGCGGGATTCAAGATTTTGCTGTGTTGGGTCCAATGCGGATCTGGAATAAGATAAAAATTAGTAACACTATAAGATAATTAAATGAGTCGTCTACCTTCCAAGGTGAATAATCCTCTGCCCACACCACCGTTGAAAATATTATAAAAGACACTTGGTAAAAGTGCTTAACGAATTAAGTACACCTAAAAATTTTATATAAATATGAAAGTTTACTTAAGCGCCCTGCTTCAGTACAATTGACCTTCTTTATGCCAAGAAACTTAATAAAAAACTTATAAAACTCTCGACGTGTCCACAGATAATAAAGTACTAGCAAAGCAACAAATACTATACACAAGACTGAATCCATGACTGAACGATCTAAAGAGCAAAAACACCTTAACTAAAGTAAATTTCTTTTATATAACCGCGAGACAGTTACAATTTGATTACCATCCATTTTGATTTATTAGCTGCTGCACATCCCATTTTGTTTTAATGTGATATACATAAATAAAGTGAACTCTCAAGTTCAGCTATTCGTTGGTATTTCCTTGACGAGCTCTAATTTTTCGGCGAAGAGTAATATAGCGTGTATGTAGATTTGAAAAAATAATTTTCTATATATTAGGTGTTAGCCAATATGTAAGAATAAAATACCAATTTTAAATTTTCCGTGCTTAACCAGCACTCTATCAATCGAAAAAGTCGATTCTTATTTCGAAGTTCGAATGTACTTCGAACCATTTAAAATACTCAGCAGCCCATCAGCTGTTTCTTATTACGGCAACGTTCGTTTGGCAGCATTTAAATCCCAAGCTCTGAATATTTAATGCTTTCGAATTAAAACCTTAAAAATTTTAAATTTTAAGTGTTCCCGCTAGGTACAAAGTAATTCAAATAATCATATTAATAAAATACCATTCCAACTATCGAAAACAAGTGGAAAATCAGCTGTTTTGTTTCGTTGGCAGTTATCGATATGTCATCATTAGCGGAATCCAAACAACACAAACAAAAACGGACACATCGCATCAATGCTGATTGCATTCACTGCTAGTTCGCTGCCACGCTGCCAAAATTAAAAGTTATAAATGCAAAAAACGGCGTACGCATTCAGGGATTCGGAAAACTCGCCACGCACAATGCTTATGCGTGACTGGCGTACCGCCTTGCGTACGCCAACCTATCGAATTGGCAATCGCACCGTTCGCTTTAATTATCATTTTGCATTACTTGTGTTTTGTGCCGTGGTGCTAGTATGGCTCTTTTTATATGCGCGACAAGGCAGTCGCAGTTCCTCCGATGGATATTGGCTGCGCACCCAGTATGCCAGTGAAGCCAGCTCTATTCTCGCAATACCATACAATTCAACGTATCCACTGACACAGCCTTTGAGCGTGCAAGGCGGCGTTATCAGCTATCGTATCGCTATGATAGCAGATCTAGATACCAGCTCTAAGGTTGTCAAAGCCGACGGCAGCACAACGTGGAGGAGCTATCTGAAGAAGGGCTATCTCACGTATCTGCCAAAGAAGCATGAGCTGCAAATAAACTGGGATTCTGGTGCACCAACAGTTCTGGAATCATCATTTGCGTTGAAGGGACGTGGCATGGAGCTCTCCGAGCTAGTCACTTTCAATGGTAAACTGCTGAGTTTCGATGACCGTACCGGGCTTATTTACGAGCTGACCAATGACAAGGCCATACCCTGGGTAATACTGCTCGATGGCGATGGTCACAATGCCAAAGGCTTCAAATCCGAGTGGGCGACAGTGAAGCAGCACACTTTGTATGTAGGCTCCATGGGCAAGGAGTGGACAACCAGCATGGGTGACTTCGAGAATAACAATCCCATGTATGTCAAGGCTGTCAGCATGGCAGGCGAAGTACACTCGTTAAACTGGGTGGAGAACTACAAGAAGCTGCGTCTGCAATCGCTTCAGATAAGCTGGCCCGGCTATATGACACACGAGAGCGTTGTCTGGTCACAGGTGCATCAGCGCTGGTATTTTCTGCCACGTCGCTGCTCAAAAGAAAAGTTAGTCATGTAGACACGATGTGGTTTGCGTGTGCGAGGGTCAGGGGTAGCTGGGAAAAGCCGGCGCCATAGCCAAACAAGATGTGGTTTTTTGCAGCAACCCCAACAGTAAAATTGTATTCTTATCGAGCCAACAACTTTAAGCATAGACCGTGGGGACGTGGGTCAGTTGTTTTTTAGCTGCCTGTTGACTGGACGGACATGTGAAACACTTTTGTTTTATCGTGAACGATGATACATCAGCCATCAAGTTGATTAACTCACATGGAATGTGCCAAAGTGCCGAAAATCAAATTAAATTGCCTTGATGCGAGTATTTGTGACATATCCAAGTGGGTTATGAGGGAGTTTTGTCGTGGGATGCTGCTACGCCATTTGATTTATGCATTGCAAATCGATAGTTTGTGTAAAGGGTAAAGGGTAAAGGGATAAGTGTCACATGCACATAGATGATGAGATGATGCACATCACATTGGAAAATTTGATGATGTGAGTAACAAGTTTACACTAGGCGGATTAGATCTGCTTGGCCTCTGCGTACTTCTGGTGCTTTTGCTCTAGGAACTTAAAGACAGATTCGATGGCTGCAGAGGAGGTCCATTCGTGCTCCGGATGTCCAGCAGATACGCAAGTTATATTTTTATCCTTATCACCATGTGTTAGATCGGTGTCAAGCGGCTCATTGCTGGAGACCCAATTGCAGGTTACATCTAGAAAGTATTTTTGACAGCTAGCTGGCGGATTACCCACTGTGCCGTCGGTTAGCGCAATGGCATATACTTTTTCTTTGAAAAATTTCGTAAACTTTTCCGCCTGCAATATATAAAATATTAATAAAATATCTACTGGAAATACGTATTCACTTACCAGAGCTCTGCACACAGATCCACCAAAGCTATGTGCCACTATGGCCACACTTTCAGGTTGCGATGGCATGATTATATGCTCCCATACATAAGCGGCATGATTCATGGAATTGTCTACACCTTTGATAGGCGTACGCTTGCCCTTTATTATACGTGTGGTGTCATTCGTATTCGTGACGAGTATATCATAGCCCAGCTTCTGCGCGCGTTGTATATATGGCAGCTGTGTTCCATGCTCCAGAGAGTTGTTAATAATCAATCTAATAGACATCATAGGATTTAATATCTATCTATAGACCATCTGAATAAACTGTTAACACTGCTAAATTATTTTGCCTTGCATAATTTTAGTTCGGCTTCAACCAGTTCAGACAGTTGAAAGTCAGACAAATTGAAAGATATATATATATATATATATATATATATATATAAAGTTTCTACCTTCTTGCCCATTGGCCTGCCAGAACATAGCCGCTGCCGTGGATGAGCACAAGCAGCTTCTTCGAGTGGGCCAGAGGTTGAGGCTGTGTGAAGACGAAAGTGGAACGCTCAATGGGCTCTCCAATGGGTACATAGGTCCTCTTTAATCCATTCTTTTCCAGTAGCTCATATATTATGTCGGGTATCTGATTGGCTAGTTGTTCGTAATGCTCCTGATTTATAGCCGGATTGTCGCCTTTCTAAATTCATAAGGCAGATCACCGGGCTTGCCGCTGGCTGCATCTATTTTGCGTAGTTCGCCAGCTGCACGTACATATGGGTTACTGAGTATGTGACATAAACTGTAATTATTTGTATAATCACCTTCATTGAATGCATATCCGAATTCCCTCAAACGTGCAATTGCTTCCTGGCTGCTGTTAGTACAAGGATCTGACATGGTACTTTTTGACGACTTTAAATAGCGGCTTTGGTAATTGAAGTGATATATTTAAAGCGCCGCCACATAGTGTCATTTTAATGCATGTTACTTACTTAATACAAGCTCACGTCTATTTGCAAATACACCGGCGTAGTTGGCAGCAACGATACCAATTGCAACTCTACACAAATTGACAGCCCTCTAAACGTGGCGGTATGTTGATATATACACAACTCATCATCGATTAGATTTTTATCGGTTAATGGTTTAAATGTTCTTTTATTAAGTTTTAAGTTAGTTTCTCTGTTCAAATTTCAAAAGCGGCATAGTAGCTAATTTCATGGTTACATTTTCAACATATTCGAGATTTTTAAAATTAAAACTTGTGCTAAATTTATAGTTTCTCAGTAATTTTGCCAACGTGAGTTTTATAGATAAGAGACCATATCGCCACCCTGAAAATTTGATATTTAATTATTATAAATTATAAATGCATATTTATAAAATTCAACTGACCTATGCAGTTACGTATACCCTTTGTAAAGGGTATAAAACCGTAGGGATGTATGTCCTGGAAATTGTGTGGCAGAAAGTGATCAGGATTGAAAGATTCCGCCTCTTCTCCCCATATATCCTTTCTGCGTTGCATTTCAAATATGTTAATAATAATTTGCATGCCTTTGGGTATCACAACGCCGCTTGATAGCCGCACAGGTTGAGACGTTTGCCGTGCTACGATTGGAACCGGCGGTATTAATCGCAAACATTCATTCAAAACGAGATCCAAATAAACCATTTGTTGTATATCTTCGTAGCTAATTGAAAAGTCGCCCGCTTTAGGAAACAGAGCTTGAATTTCCCCAAATGCCTTTTCTTGATACTCTGGAAACATGGCTAGCAGCATGAGCGTAAAGGCTACTGCATTTGAGGATGTCTCAGCGGCTGCACCAACCATTACACACGACTCATCTTCAACATCCTTTCTGTCAAAGGTGCCACGCTTAAATTGGTGAATTGCCAAATTGAGAACAGAATTATTATTGCAGGGGGTTTCATCTTTAATATCTTCAGAGAGCTTCTGATCCACTATCTGTAAAAACATATGTATTACTAATGATTCTGTCAGAGAGGGAGCATTTGTTACCTTGGTTATAAATGTACTTGCATAGATTTTGGATTTTACAAATTGCTCCTCTTTGCCCAAAATTTGACGTATAATTGGATAATACAACCACGGAGAGTGCATAATATCAGATGCGCATTCTAGAAGCCTAAATTCGAATAGCTGAATACTCTTGAAAAAAGATTTACTCACCATTTAAAATGAACCACTATAGAATTATCCTGGAATTTTGGATCTTCCTTAACACAAGTGCCCATTGTGGTTTCTTACAACAACACAGACTTAAATTAATATATTTTTTTTTAATTTAAGGCTTATACTTACGCGTTGCTATGCTTAATGTGAACAGCTGTAAACATGGCAATATATCCCTTTCTTCGCCATCTGCTAATTTGTTGAACTCTTTAAGTAATATTCCTGTCTCCTTGTTGAAAATCGGAAAGAAACTCAGCAACATTTTGTGGCTGAAAGCGGGATTTAAGATCTTTCTATGTTTGGTCCAATCGGAATCTAGAGTGAGGTCTAATTAGTTATCCTTTAAGAAAATTAAATGAGATTGCTACCGTGCAGAGTGATCAAGCCCTTGCCCAAAGAATCATCTACAATCTTATAGAAGAAACTCTTATTCACACAATTTGGAGACGTTAATATATCCCGTGTTACTTGAGGATCACTGACAATAAGCATAGGAAATGGACCCAGCCAGGACACAAAAATGTTTCCATATTTCTTGATATAAGTTCTTAGCAGCTTGAGCACGACTAAATAAAAAATACAAATTAATATATCTATATTACTTTGCTTAAAATCGATCTGCTGCTCAATTTACCTCCGTTATGGGATAATTTTAATGCTATGCCAATTAAAGGATATCCTAGAGGACCAGGAAACTTCATAGAAAGCTTATAAAACTCACGACGTGTCCACAGATAATAAAGCACTAGCAAAGCGACTAAGATTATGCACAAAATTAAATCCATGACTGAACGATCTGAAAAGCAAAAATACTTTAAGCATTTAAGCTGGAGTTAAGTTCTTATATATAGCTGAGGGAAGTTACAATTTGATTTCCATCCATTTAGGTTTATAGCTGTTGCACTTTGCATTTTATTTTTATGCCTATTACAGACATAAACGAGAATGAACTCTCGGACTGATAATTTTCATTGTGCGGTGTCAATTTGCTCATTGCGAAAGGTAATGTATAATGCTCGTATTGTATGTATCACCCATTTGTATTGCAAGCTCTAAAATTCGAGAGTTCAGTTTAAATTTTGCGCGCTCAAATTCAATTGTATCAATCGGAAAAATCGAGTTTCTTAGTTCAAATGAACTTACTATCGAACTTTTAAGAATACTCAACAGAGTAAGTTTTATAATTGGAATCAGAACATTGTTGAATGTTCACTAAGTTAGTTCTGTTTTTGACATCATAATTTTGGATTGTAATTACTTATACAACGATATATATGAATACCTCCTTAGCGCACTGTTGGATTAGATCATAAAGTCACGGCTGTAAACGAATGACCAATAATTTGATCTTTACAGAGCTTAAAATCTCTCGTCTGAGCCGATCCGTGTTTTGATTTCTTTTATTGCCCGAAAACTAATGGCAAGTAAATGGTTGTGTACCACTCAGAATTAACTGTTTTAAGGTTCTCTAGTGCTCTAGCTGTAACAGGACATTTTTGGAAATAACGAGGGTCTCGTTTGACTTGAGGTGCTTCTTCCGCGAACAACTTTTGTTGCATTAAGCTCGTCATGGCTCGTCATATTTATCGGCCATTTTTTGCATCGTTTCTGTGTTGTCCTGTAACACTATAAGATAATTAAATGAGTCGTCTACCTTCCAAGGTGAATAATCCTCTGCCCACACCACCGTTGAAAATATTATAAAAGACACTTGGTAAAAGTGCTTAACAAATTAAGTACACCTAAAAATTGTATATAAATATGAAAGTTTACTTAAGCGCCCTGCTTCAGTACAATTGACCTCCTTTATGCAAAAATTCGAATGCGATATAAATGAAGGGAGAAACTTAATAAAAAACGTATAAAACTCTCGACGTGTCCACAGATAATAAAGTACTAGCAAAGCAACAAATACTATACACAGGACTGAATCCATGACTGAACGATCTAAAGAGCAAAAACACCTTAGCTAAAGTAAATTTCTTTTATATAACCGCGAGACAGTTACAATTTGATTACCATCCATTTAGATTTATTAGCTGCTGCATATCCCATTTTGTTTTAATGTAATATACATAAATAAAGTGAACTCTCAAGTTCAGCTATTCATGTTGGTATTTCCTTGACGAGCTCTAATTTTTCGGCGAAGAGTAATATAGCGTGAATGTAGATTTGAAAAAATAATTTTCTATATATTAGGTGTTAGCCAATATGTAAGAATAAAATACCAATTTTAAATTTTCCGTGCTTAACCAGCACTCTATCAATCGAAAAAGTCGAATCTTATTTCGAAGTTCGAATGAACTTCGAACCATTTAAAATACTCAGCAGCCCATCAGCTGTTTCTTATTACGGTAACGTTCGTTTGGCAGCATTCAAATCCCAAGCTCTGAATATTTAATGCTTTCGAATTAAAACCTTAAAAATTTTAAATTTTAAGTGTTCCCGCTAGGTACAAAGTAATTCAAATAATCATATTAATAAAATACCATTCCAACTATCGAAAACAAGTGGAAAATCAGCTGTTTTGTTTCGTTGGCAGTTATCGATATGTCATCATTAGCGGAATCCAAACAACACAAACAAAAACGGACACATCGCCTCAATTTGTTGATTGCATTCACTGCTAGTTCGCTGCCACGCTGCCAAAATTAAAAGTTATAAATGCAAAAAACGGCGTACGCATTCAGGGATTCGGAAAACTCGCCACGCACAATGCTTATGCGTGACTGGCGTACCGCCTTGCGTACGCCAACCTATCGAATTGGCAATCGCACCGTTCGCTTTAATTATCATTTTGCATTACTTGTGTTTTGTGCCGTGGTGCTAGTATTGCTCTTTTTATATGCGCGACAAGGCAGTCGCAGTTCCTCCGATGGATATTGGCTGCGCACCCAGTATGCCAGTGAAGCCAGCTCTATTCTCGCAATACCATACAATTCAACGTATCCACTGACACAGCCTTTGAGCGTGCAAGGCGGCGTTATCAGCTATCGTATCGCTATGATAGCAGATCTAGATACCAGCTCTAAGGTTGTCAAAGCCGACGGCAGCACAACGTGGAGGAGCTATCTGAAGAAGGGCTATCTCACGTATCTGCCAAAGAAGCATGAGCTGCAAATAAACTGGGATTCTGGTGCACCAACAGTTCTGGAATCATCATTTGCGTTGAAGGGACGTGGCATGGAGCTCTCCGAGCTAGTCACTTTCAATGGTAAACTGCTGAGTTTCGATGACCGTACCGGGCTTATTTACGAGCTGACCAATGACAAGGCCATACCCTGGGTAATACTGCTCGATGGCGATGGTCACAATGCCAAAGGCTTCAAATCCGAGTGGGCGACAGTGAAGCAGCACACTTTGTATGTAGGCTCCATGGGCAAGGAGTGGACAACCAGCATGGGTGACTTCGAGAATAACAATCCCATGTATGTCAAGGCTGTCAGCATGGCAGGCGAAGTACGCTCGTTAAACTGGGTGGAGAACTACAAGAAGCTGCGTCTGCAATCGCTTCAGATAAGCTGGCCCGGCTATATGATACACGAGAGCGCTGTCTGGTCACAGGTGCATCAGCGCTGGTATTTTCTGCCACGTCGCTGCTCAAAAGAAAAGTTAGTCATGTATATAAATACCGAATTTCTTTTAATTTTCTTTAATTCTTCTCTATAGATATAATGAAACTATGGACGAGCACATGGGCTGCAACTTTCTAATATGTGCGGACGAGCACTTTAATGTTATAAGTATTACCAAATTGGATGGTGACAATACGCCCACTCACGGCTTCTCCAGCTTTAAATTTCTACCCAACACAAAGGACTCCATAATCATAGCGCTTAAATCGGAGGAGCTGAATGGCAAAACATCCACATTTGTGACTGCATTTAGCGTGGAGGGCAAAACATTTTTGCCGGAGACACGTGTGGAGACGGACTATAAGTACGAGGGCTTTGAGTTTATATAGCGAATCGTCGCTGCTGTAACATTCAGTGTATATAGTGTATTATCCGATATATATATATATATATATATATATATATATATATATATATTTTAATTTCAAGTTTATGTATAGCTTATATATTAAGTTATGTCACCTAGGAGACTCTCATAGACCAATGCCATAAATTATGCTGTTAAAAATACTCTGTTTACAAAGTGAGAATGGTATATTAGTTTGGAACAATGTCTGTCCGCTTGTATTTCGTTTGAATTTAAATTTAAAATTTTGCGCGAAGCTAAGCTGTTAAAATGTCTAAAAATCTCATCTTATATGTTAGAATTATTCAAGATTGTGAGTATTCTTTCAAGATATACATTTTATTCCACATTGTCAAATTGAAATTCTTCAAACATTCTGACCAAATTTGAACTTTAAAAACTTTTTGTCAAAAAGGATTTTACAAATTCTTAAATTAATTAAATTTATGTTCTAGCTCTAAATAGCAGAAATCTCTTATAAAATAATGTCTAAGACCTTTACATCACAGAAAATTAAACTATATTATAAACAAATAGATTTTCATGAAAAACCCATTATCGACCGGTTGTTCCTAGACTTCCAAAAAAATATAGATAATATATTAAACGTAATCCGTTCAAGTAAACAGAGTATTGAGCAGTCGGTTTGCATGCGACTGCAAAATTAATTTTTTTGTATTGTTTTCACATGAATCTTGTATTTATACGTAGCAAAAGCCAATTTATAATTTATTTGAATACAATACGTACAAAACATATACAAAAACAAAAAACTATCACACTGCTAGGAGTTAGCTATATTCTTTGTACTAATTACCGATTCCAGACCTGCCACTACCAAATCTTCATTGTCGATGCGTCCCTCGCTGGCACGCACCTCTAAGCGATTTGCGTTATGATTTACATTCCATAGTTTGGGCAAAAATTTGGGCTGCATGGTATGTAAAAAGTGTTCCCGCCACAAGCGCTCCAGCTCGACGAGACCACCAAATTTATCGCGATATACTTGAACCACTTTTTTGCCGTGCTGGCAGTAATCTTCGTTGGCCACACGACAATCCAATTTGGCGGCCTTTTGTAGAAGTTCAGGCGTTATCTCAGTGGCATCCGTATAATAATCCAAAAGGGTTTTCTGCAATTGTGTAACCTTTTGGCTGGGCATACGACCGCTCTGCATTAGCAAAGCCTTGCCAGCCAACTTAACGTTTCTGCAAGGAATTACAAATTAGAGTAGAAGACGGCAAAGTTTGGTGATCGATCAAATCAAAAACTAACCTCAGCTGCTGATCATCATGGTACTTGGAGACACCCTCGCCATGTCCAAACGGTGCCTCGCATGTAATCGAGAGCTTATTGCGTATCTTGTTATCCGATATATTACTTAATTGATGGCAGCTTGGACAGAGCAGGAGTATATCGTGGGATGTGTGTGATTTCATAACAACGGGAAAATGTTTGCGATATTCGCGTGGCACCACATTCTTTCGTATGTAGGCATCCCGACGTCCACACACCACACACTGATTCTCTTTGGGTGTCTGATAGTAGCGACCAACGTCTCCGACAGCTCGACCCGCCGGCTCAAAATTCAAACGCACTGTGAACGGCTGCTCACTAACCTGTGTGCCCAGATTCTGATTCAAATACCAAGAGGCTTTGCGACGATCAATCGTGCAGAGCAGCTCACCATCGGGTGCCTCAAGCACGCAATTGTCATAGAAAGCTTTAGACTGAGTTCCAAGATTGCGAATTTGTTGCTGTTGTTGCGGCTGCTGGTGCTTCTTATTACGCTTGTGCTTAGATTTGCTCGTCAGTGGATGTGTGGGAGTGCTTGTTGATAGGGTCTTTCCGAGGCCAGCGACAAATCCTTTGGTAAAGTCCACATCCAGAAATGGCTCAATTTTTGGACGCAATTGCTCGAATTTGGGAGCACGCCAGTCCCAAAAGGTACGTGGCTCCAAATCTTTGGATAACTTTTGAAATATAGCTACGGCGGCTAATGCATCATTAGCCGCATAATTAAGCTGTGCGGAATCCAGTTGAGGAGCCTCCCAATTAGAACAGGCCAGGCGCCAATTCTTGTCGAGCATAGTGTTTAGATGTGTCTGCGATAGTTTGCCTAGGCCTTCGGCCTGATGACCGGCCATGACAGCCATGTAACGCAAATCAAAGGTGCTGGCAACGCCAACCCCAAAATCATGCGAGAGTTTCATGGCATCGTCCTGTGGTGCGACGCCCACCTTAAGCACGGCATCATCCTCGAGCAGTTCACGCAAATCCTTGGGTATTTGCTTAATGCAACACAAACGAAACAGGGCACATAGCCCCTTATGTGAACTCAGCTGCAACAAAGCAACAGGTCGGCGTGTACCGCCTACAGTGATCCATTCACAATCAAAGCCGATCACTTTAAATGACTCGCAATGGCTACACATACAGGAAAGTTATGATTTAATTACGTTCAGTTTTGGTTAATCTACTATGACTTACCTCTTCAGTTCATTTAGAATGCGCTGTGACTCGTTTACCGAGCTGATAACTTCAATGCGTTTATGCTGTAGCTGAAAGGGACTGCGACAGAATATGCCCCAAATGGATTGCCTATGCCGCACGAGCACATAGGCTAAACCCAGGCTAGCGGCGAGCAAGGCCCAGCGCTTGGTGTTAGTATTAACGGTTTGGTTGCTCATGGCTAAGTCGAACTCGAAAAGTGTTGATGAAATTACCAAATATATCGAAATTACAATAAACTACGCCCCCGATTGACCGATAAAGAATGTAAACGCAGCCTACTCGCCGAGCCGCCCAAAAAAATTTTGAATGCCATACACAATTATTTTATTATGGTCCACGATTTTTTCATCGCATGCTTTGATTCAAAGTATTTTTGAATAATAACGTTTTAGTAGAGTACTTTAGACTTCTTATGTCACGAACATAGCTCATATATTTTATGTTGTTAATCGATAACAGCCCGTTTTCTGTTAAGTTGATTAACATTCGTTATCAATGCAATTGCACTTGGAGCAGATTGGCAGCTCTATTAACTCCATTAACTGTAAGTCTACAGCGCGGCCAGCTGTTAGTTAATTTTCAAGTTTTGTTCGTGCCCAAATGAAATGTTTTTGTATGAAAACTTATTAATACAAACAATTTACAACGACTATTAATCGAAGTGAATAGAATTAGTCATGTTAAGTTAAGAAATGTTGCATTTTAGCAGCCGTAGCTGCCTGCTTCCAATAAAACCGCTATCCAGTTGAAATATCGATTTTTCCAGCGCAATCAAAAAAGGTAACATAATTCAATAACGGTACTTTGTAACGCCTTGCTTCTAACCTAATTACATTCTTACAGAATGTGCCATTAAATTGAAAAGTAGCTTAGTTTAACTTGGAAAGCGGCAAAATGCCAGAGAATTTGGAATTGCATCAATTTGTGGACGGAACACGATCGGGCGATCTATCAAATCAATGGCTGGAGCAGCTTAAAACGCGCGCAAATTGCCCGTATTTGGGCATTATACTAGCCACACTGTCTTCGCTGTTCTTCTCGCTGTGTTCGGTGATTGTTAAGGGACTTGTCGATGTCAATCCCATGGAGTTGGCTTCGTTTCGTTTTGTGGGCGTTCTACTGCCCACCATCCCAATACTCATATATACCGAACAGCCAGTATTTCCAGAGGGCAAACGTGTCATCTTGCTGCTCCGCTGCTTTATGGGCACCACAGGGCTGATGCTCAGCTTTTATGCGTTTCGGCATATGCCATTGGCCGATGCAAGCGTCATTATCTTTTCCACACCTGTGTTCGTTGCGATCTTTGCAAGGGCCTTCCTCAAGGAGCCGTGCACGCTCTTTAATGTGCTGACCATTAACATGACGCTCCTTGGTGTGGTGCTTATCACTCGACCACCTTTGGTCTTCGGCGAGGCAACACCGGAGCTGGATAGCGAAAAGGATTCGGATAAAGCATATGATATCTGGGGACCAGTTGCTGCCATATCCTCGACGCTGTTCGGAGCCAATGTTTATATATTGCTGCGTGCTCTGAAAAATCTTCACTTCTCTGTGATTATGACGAACTTTGGAGCGATTGCCCTCGTTTATACATTGATTGTGTGTGGTTCGATTGGCGCTGTCTGCTGGCCAAGTTGTGGACGGGATCGCTGGCTGGTCGTCGTGTTGGGCATCTTTAGTTTTCTGGGCCAAATCCTGTTGACGCTCTCACTGCAGGTGGAACAGGCCGGTCCAGTAGCTATTGCACGCTGTGCCGACATCGTCTTCGCCTTCATCTGGCAAATCCTCTTTTTTGGTGAGGCACCCAATGTGTATTCTCTGTGTGGCGCTCTGATGGTCGTGAGCTCCGTCATTTTGACGGCCATGAAGAAATGGGCGATGACTTTGCCACGCGAATCGTCGCTGCGTAAACGCTTGCGTCTTATACTTATGGAGTAGAACAAAATAGTTGCTGTAGTTGTAGCAGTCATTTAGTTATGTAAGTGGTTTCTTAAAGCGTTTTAAATCAAATTTTCATTTGGGCATCGGGGAACAATGCTCAACTAACTACGATACGATAACTAATTCATATACACGACTTAGACTTTGGATTATTGATAAAGCTCAGCTTAGTATTTAAAGAAAATAGACGCATTATATAAACATTCACATCTTTTACATATATATAGGCATACAATTTTAAAGTTCGAGCGTGATACTCATACCATCTACAAAATATTCATACATATGACTATGATATATATATATATATATAAATCTAATGTTTAGTTTAGCCAAATTCATTGAGTTGTTGTTTTGTACATTGTTATACATGCTTACACTAAAGTATTTCGACAAAAATCTTATTAATAAATACAAATTGTGTAAAAGTAAAAACCGTTAATTGGTATTTTGATTTTCAGACGTTGCTGGTTCTTAAAATTTCACACTGGGGGCGCTATTGTAACAGCTGGGCTGACAGCTGTGCAAATTTCGATACTTGCCTATTCGATTCGTGTTTCTTGTTTTCTGTGTATTTTACATACTCAACATAAACATGCTGTTAACATGAGGCAACATTGTATAGTAACTGTTAGCTGCGCGTCGGCGCCACTGGTTACCTCAGCGCGAAAAACCCGATAGTAAAGTGCATAAAATACATCAAACAAACAGAATGAGCAAGTTTATATTCAAAAATGCATTTACGATAGGTATGCAGCGCCAGCAACGATATCTGTTTATAATATCGAGTTACAAGCACTTTTGACGTCACACGTTCATGTTTATGTCATGCAATTAACATTTGTTTAACATAGCGTAACCTCTCAGTGTTAATAACTCTGCTAACAACGCGTCGGCGCCACCGGTTGCCACAACAAAAAAAGTACTCGAACGCAGTAAATACTCATATAAAAAACAAAACAACGCGTTCTGCCGGCGAGAAAAAGAAACAATTAAAATACAAAAGTAACCAACCAATTTGCATAAGTGCTTGATGTGCTTGTGAATACATACATAGTGTGCCTTGAACTTACATATGTCGATAATATAATTATATTTAAATACATTGAAAGAAGGAACACTACGTAAACAGTAAACAAACACGTTGTACATTCGATTCTTTTTTTACTGGGGAGTTGCAGCTGTTGTTGTTCATCTTCTTCCGACTAATGGGCCTAAAAACCCAAATCGGCAATTACCGCATCCAGTTCATCCTGCAGATTGGTAGCCCTGGAGCGCACCTGTGAAATTTGATCCTGCAAATTATCCACATTCGCTTGCAGCAGCACATTGCATTTCTTCATTGCCGCAAAGCGACTCTCGTGCTTCTTCACGCGCGGCTCCAAATTGCATTTCTTAGCGGAATTGGCAGAATCCTACAAAGAAAGAGGTGAGTCGATATACAACTATTTGGCTTGACTACAAAAAATTGCTGCTGCCCGGCTTTGCGCGTCTCAATGAGTATAAGACTTATGCCATTATTTATACAATATCTAAATATGGATTCTCTTCTAATGTCAATCAATCTTCTCATTTGTATCACATATTGTACTTACTTCCGCTTCAGATTCACTGCCCGATTCCTCTTCGCTCTCCTCTGATTCCGATTCCTCTGACTCCTCCTCTGACTCTTCCTCTTCTTCCTCATGCTCCTCTTCGGCTGCCTCCTCTTCATCTTTGTCCTCGGCATCGACTTCGTCCTCGTCCAGCTTCATCGATGCGGCCATCTTTTGCACCTCCTTCTCCAACTTTTTGAACTTTTTGTTCTCCTCTCTGCAAAGTAAAACCCTTGGTAGCGCAAGCTTTCATTAATTTGGCATTTCCTACTTGAGTATAACATGATTCTTCTTCATGGCCTGCTTCAGTGCATCCTTTTCCTTTTTGGCCGCCTCTTCCTTGACCTTCAGCTTGGTTAGCTTGCTGCGTAGCACCTTCACCTCCTTGCCCATTCGCCGCTCGCGTCGCTCTGTCTTCTTTTCCTCGGGTTCGTCGGGGTCGCTTTCGCTCATCTCCAGCTCCAGTTCGGGCGAGCTGTCGCGACCGAAATGCGCATCGCTGGCTCTTCTGGAGCCATCCCATGTGCCGCCGCCCTATATTCACAATAAGGAAGAAAGCATTAGGGACACCTGTCGTCGCTGGCAACACCTGACCGATTCCAACTGTGCGCATTACCTTATGATTGGTCACCTTCTCACCGTAGTAATCGTCGTCCTCGTCCTCGTCGTCGTAAGCAAAGCGAAAACTAATGCGCGGTCTGTTAGTGCTTGGAGTCGCATTTGCCTTATGTAAACAGCGTTTGGGTTGGTTAAATTTGGTTAACGGTTTTAGTAAGCGGATAAAGAGTAGAGCAGCAAAAAGCAGTTGTCTTTGTTTGTCTTTCTAAACCGATTTACTTAATATTACAATATCCAATCTTGAATCTTGGCAATACCATCTAAAGGAGGTGTATGTAAAGTACACACAACATTTTGAGAGACTGCGAAGGAGAGATTTTGAGAGCATAGTGGGGATGAAAATCGAAAAGCCTTAACTGAAGCCGTGAAAATCGCATAGAAAGGCAATTTGGAGAGTAGACAGAGCAAGTAAAGAGAGAATAATAGTAGAAGAAATCAAAGGACAGTTTAGTGAGAGAGAGAGAGAGAGCGAGTAATACACAGAAAAAGGAAGAGGGAAAGTCAAGAGGGAGCGTGTTCAAAGGTCGAAACACTAGATTGGATGAGCTAAGAAGGAGGCTTTATGCAGGGTTAGACTAAGGGAGAGAGAGAGAAGGGCATATAGATATAGGCATAGGAAATAGAGCAAGTTGTGTGAATGAAATTGGAGATGGAGTCGAGTTCATAAGATGAAGAGAGCAAAACAGGTACATTAATGAGGAAAAGAAAAATTTAGCAAGTGTGGCACAAGGCAGGAAATGCTTGAAACGAAAGCAAATTGAAAGAAAGAAAGAGAATCAAGCTAATTGGCGCTGCGAATATCAGCAGCCAGCCCGCATTACGTCTCAGCAGGCCCCCTCAAAGGTATCCAAAATGTGTGTCGTGTTGTCAGCTGATGTGTAATTATTTATCGTATCTGCTGCTACGACTAGAACAAACAACAATAGCAACAACTACGACTACAACTATAAGAACTACAATCAATGCGAAAGCGACTAATTGCGATTGCTTTGTTAGCTGGTTTTTTAGATGATTTTTTTCTTTGCATTCAGGCTGAGCTGTCGCTCGGGAGGCGGCGGCGCAGGCGGCGCTGAAAAGGTGGATACATGTGTGGGTTATGACCCCAGCAACAACTAACTTAAACTGACAACAACAACAGCTGACAACACGCGTGGCATGTTGTGCGACTTGTGCCACGCCCGCCCGCCCCCTGCACTTTCTCCACAAGGTTGGGCTGTCGCTTACCTGCAAAGCAGCTGCCAATTTGCGCTCAAGCAATTGTATCTGTCGCTTTTGTTCCTCGATTTCTGTTTTCGCCTCGACTAGCAGCTCGCCCGTATCATGATAGTTCTTCTCCACCTCCTTGGACACCTTGCGCGCATCTTCCACTTCACGTTTCAGCGAGTTGACATATGCCTGTTCGGATGTGGGCGTGGGATCCATGGTAGCTACAATAACATTCGAGCCATACTCCAGATTCTTTTCGCGCGATTTCTCACGCTCCAATTCCGTTTCCAGCGTACGTATTTTAGCTAAGAGCTTCTTGTTCTCACGCTCCTGGGCCTCACGATTGCGCAGCTCGAGGGCCAGCATTTGCTTGGTGCTCTGCAAATCGTCACGTATCTTATCAATGTCATCCAGCTCATCGGGACTCTCCTCATCGATGGACATGGTCGAGACTATGCTGGGCCGAGAGCTGCCCGCACCAGTTGCCGACGCACTGTTTGCACTGTTCAGCGCATGGCTGCTGGGCGCCTCGCTCAACATGTTAACCTTCGACAGAGACTTGTGCAGCTGCTCCTCGATGGTCATCTGGCGTCGGAACTTGCGCAGACCCTCCAATATGGGCTTGCTGCGATCATTTGTCTGCGTGGGCTTCAGACGAACGCCGCCCTGAATTTGCTTGAGCAGCTTGTTGTGCGAATTGTCCTTCTCTGTTTCATAGATAAATTTGTCATCCACTTTGGTCATCGATTTGCATGTCAAAACGGGCTGAGATCTGCAGTGAAAGTAGCTTAAATTAGGCAAGCTTTATATTGCTTCTAATCTCTGGGGGTTATCCAAGTAATTTTGATTCATGGATTTTCATAGTTTTTATATTATAGCTTCTAGGGTTTTAATATTTATTTCTGGCTAAGTTTCTTCAAGAAAATGTTTTTCCTAAAGTTAAAAATTGCATAATTAAAGAGATTCATTAAAGCATTTTTTTGGTTTCTTTGCTCAGATTAATTTGAATGGCAAATGGATTGAATTTGTAACAGAGAGCGAGCCCCTATTATGCCTTAAGCTGGCAGTTATACACCCTTTGCACAGCGACTAACTAATTTGTAATCGATTGTGAAGGCTGACCGTTCATTTGTAACCGACCGAGGAGTGGCTAATGGGAGCTGCTCACCTATCGTTGCATGCCACATGGCGCAGCTTCTTGCCGCTCTCCACCTCCTTCATCATCTCGGACCAGTCGGGCCGTCTGCGTGGTCGTGACCTGTGTTAAAATGAAATAAATGATGGTTTAGTCTTAAGTTCTAGGATATGCTTGGATGCTGCTTCGCTTACTTGAGCTTCTCGAGCGTTTGCTTTTGCGTGTCGCTGAGCACCCGCTTCTCGCCGGGCGCCAATGGCGGCGGAGGCGGTGGTGGAGCCTTTGGCACCAACGAGGGCAGCGGCGGTGGCGCTGGAACTGCAACAGAAATATATGGAGTGGATGGTTAACTGCGGGTAGCTGCAATGCCAGATGAATGGTCTAGCTATTTTTTCAGCTTTTTTTTTGTTTTTAGCTTGTTTTTAGCGTATAAATCGTTTAGCGCTGCGTGCACTCGCGGTTATTAAATATAATTTTAATTTAATGAGTTTGCAATTTGTGTCAGTTGTTGTTTGCTCCAAGTTTTCCCTCTCAGCCGCCCTCTCGCTGTGTGGCTGCCGGCCATACATATCAATTGAGTTTGGCTTAAGGTTGTGTGGGCGGGTGTTTTGGTGGACGGGCTTTACTTTCCAATTCCTGCGTCTAAAGTTTCACTGCATTGGCAGAGATTGAAAAGTTACTGCTGTGGCGCAGCATCACAGTCCT